TATTATAAGATTATACTGTTTATGTCTGCAAATACTTTATCTAAATTCATATATTATTAGATTTGGCATAAAGAAAGATTAGCTATTTTGTTAACTCTGCAACAAATACCCACTGTACAATCTTTGATGAAGAACTCCATAAATTAATAACTTTAACAAAAGAATCTCTGCAAGAGGAGATTATTCGTTGGCCTTGATCAACAACCCCTTCCGTCGTTATTACACAAACATGAGATCATATATGTATTAATTTGTTATTATTATACATTCATGATGATAGTAATATTCTTGATTTGTGCTAATTAGGGACATGAATCATTATATTGTAAGTGAGACGTCACTCAAGTTGCGTTGGGGTTTTGCCATTATTGGATTGAATTCCTGTACGGTGGTATCTCTTATAAGTCGTTGACAGACGTCTTATAAATATACGGTTAACACACCATTAAAAGTTGTCCTTTAATGCAATTTACTTTAGATATAATTATAATTTAAAAAAAAAAGAGGCATTTACAGAAAAGTTCTAATTTATAAATTTATACTCTATTAAATCCTGACTAAGATTTTTTGGACTTTCAAGTCTCATTAAATTTTTAGTAGTTAAAATTACCCTTCAAATAATGATTGTTCATCATTTATAATTATCTATAAATGAACATAAAGATTTGACATTTATTTTGATTTGCAAAACTTTAAAACATCAACTTTCAAATTGAAAAAACTGAGAACAATTTATGTGCAAAAAAAAAAAACCTAATATATGTTTTTGAAAAAACCAAAATTTTTTTGTATAAAATTGAAAGTTTTGTATCTATAAAGGAGCATGATGATGGAATATTGATGTGCAAAATTGGAAAAGAAAATTGATAATATTCTCATTTTTAAAATTGGAAAAACTAGTAATGTTCTCAATTTTATTGGATTGTTGAATCAAACCAATAAGTAGAAGGACAAAAACGTTTAATCTCATACTCTGGTTTTATATCAGTTAATTAAACAATTATTTAGAACATTGCTATGTAAAATTGATAATATTCTCAATTTTACTATATAGGACTCATTGGTTCAAAAAACCTTAGATAAAACATGAACTATCATAACATTTGTAAATAAGACTTTTAAAAAATTAACTCAAAAAAAAAAAAAAAAGGTGAACATTGTAGGGTCCAAAGAAATTAGATAAGTGCTAATGACAACCTTCAAAATATATTGACTAAAAATTGCAAATTGTCCCTTTCACTCTTTGGCCTTCAATTATCACTTACTGAATTGAGAGTTCATTCCTCTCTTTTCCATTTTATGTGAGCATTATGCAGGACTATAGTCTAGCATTAACTGTTTTGCTCGAAAAATGGACAAAAAACCAAAGAGAGAGACCAGTGTCAAATATGAAATACATTCCAAGCTCTATACTTCCATATTAAACAAGTATCTGCTATGATGTCATAGTCTTCTCAAAAATATTAGAGACCACAATAAAGTTTTCAAAAATTTTACACAATACTTATATGATATAAAACTGACACCCATGTCAGTATTATATAAAAAATTTAATAATTTTTTTTAAATCCCTAGCATCGCTCTAGTTTCCCACTACCCATTATGTACTATTCCTTTCTATTCAAATTTTTTTAGGGGGTTAATTCCATTCAACTAACTGAAACTACCACTGTTGTTGCCAAAAGTGAAATGCATATATATCATTCATGTGACACGAAAGTTCAAAGACATATAATCAATTCTCATTTCTCAACTCTCTAGATGCAATTCAAAATTTTCTATTCCTCAAAATCTTGTCAGCTTGATCAAATGACAAGTGCGTAACACCACAAAAATTCAAACGCCCTAAATCTCGCCTATCCATTTCTAACAATTTCAGAGAATTTCTAACCAAAGGAAAGAATGCTTCAGGCTTAGTACTAAATGGCTGAAAAACAACGAACAATGCTCGCATATCAGCTCCAAACTGACTGGTGCCCTTCTCAGAGAATCTATAATCACTAGTGAATATGCTGCCAAAAATGAATCGGTCAAGCCCATCTGTGACGCTTCTCCACAAATCCGAAAGTCCTTTGGATTGAGACTGGCATTAATTATACAAAGCGGACTTCTCAAAGTATCCAACGCTTCAAGAATGTCAACGGATACAGAAAAATCTGTGACTTCTGAGGCTCTATGTAGACCATCATCATCCTCCTCTTGCTTGAAGCATTCCTTGCTCTGGACATACTCCTTGGTAAGAGGCTCAAATTGACGAAGACGATCACCAATTATTTCCATTAGCAACTTTGTCTCCAGATCAGCCAAACTCTTTATTTCTTCCCCAAAGAAGTGAGAATTAGCATTCATATCATCCTTTACAGAGATGATTTTTATCAATTTCAGCAATTTTCATCTACAGAAAATCAACATCGTCGCTCCATTCTTGTAGTTTAGATTCACAGTATCAAGCAGCATTGATCACCGCACATAGTTTCAGCAAGGAGTCATCATTGCAGTAAGTAGAGAGGAATTCAATTTCCTTGTACTGCAAAAGCAGCCTTTTTAAAAGGTACAAGACAAGTTTAGCTGCAGTTGATCTGATGAATTGGGTCCTTGCCAAAATGCCTGGTAAAGTTTTGCAACGCTCGATCATTTCCCAAGCAAGTTAGCACAGATTCTCCCTACTATAAAGAAGAAACCGCTCAGTTGTCGTGTCAACAGCAGATCCAATTTCGTTTTTCGTGTCAACCAACCACGCCCTCTCATGCTTCGATTCTTCTTTTAGTTTCATTCTCCCAACCTTGAGCTCTATTTTGGCCCAAATTTTGAGCCAATCAGGCCTATCAGAAAATAATGAGAACACAGATAAGCCTCTTGACGATCCTTCAAGCATTTCAGAGTCCTCCATGAAGAGATAAGCTTCTGAATTTACAAATGACATCATCTGTCTGTCAAAATTAACCATAAGGTCGATTAAATGAAGCCATGAAGAAATCATCTCCGATTTTTCCTTTTTCTCTTTGTATCTTTTGACGAGAACAGAGAGAACTCACTTTGCTAAAAATGAAGAAAGTGTTTGGACCATTACGGATATCCAAGCTTCTTTACCACTCAAGCTCACCAGTTTTGCTCTATCAATGAGAGGCTGCGAAACATCATCCACTCCGCCAACAAAATCTTTGGTAATCTTGGACACAAGAGCGAAGATAAACTCAGGCTGATCAACCCATTTCGAGAAGTGATATTCTGACCGTGACGCAATAGGAGAAACCAGTTCATCAATGGCCCAAAGCCCTGTATTCAGCTTCTTTTTTCCCAAAAGGCCAAGCTGTCGCTCTTCCCGCCGTGTCTGCAAATGCTGCAAAGCACAAAGTTCTAGAAAACTCTCAGAATAGGCCTTCTGTTTGTCTACTTGCATCAAAACTAATGGATTTGGAAGGATAGAGATCTTGCCACTTTCTATTTTTGACATAAAAACTTTTGGTGGCCACCGTAGAGATGAAAGAAGAGCTCGGTGATCTGCAAGAACTTGTTGCCGGAGCAAATTCAATGTTTTGTCTACTCTAGAATCCAGAGATTTCATAAGATGGAACCACTGAGGTCGGAACTTCACAGGACTGACCAACAAATCCTCAATTCAATTCATGGATCTTACAGCTTGAAAGAACTTTTCTTGCCTCGATCCTGGGTCCTGCATTCAATGACTACACTAAAATTTTCTGTGCAGTCCCATCTTTGATCTAACTATGCAATATGTATTCTTAATAAAGAAAAAATAATACCGAATAATGTCATTACTGTTGAAACTGACGGAGTTGATCAATTTGAAGCGAGTATATTTCCCCTTTTTTGATTCACAACAGAGAAAACTGCATCTTCAATATCTCCAACCATTGCTTCTAACTGTTGAGTGGTATCTGAAATCTTAGATGGGTTAGTAAAGATTTGCCTGGTAAGTTAAGAAAAATGAGAGCAAGTACATGATTTGCATAACATGTATGATTTGGTTGAGCAAGACCAAGATCAAACTAAAGCCACTGAGCATAAAAAAACTCTCACTCCATGTTCCAAGGAAAAATGTATTGCAAGAAAGAAGCAATTTTGGTGGGCACATACAGAAATGACAATATAGATTAGACAGCTTTTTTACAATGATGAATGTACGTGAGAAATTTTGAGTTGAGGATCTAACAAGCATTGGCACAAACATGTGACACGACACAGACACACTTATAAAAAAAAAATCAAAAGATATAGGGCATAACAAGTGAGGGACACACACAAAAGATATACTTTCATAAATTTATTGTATGTCATATATAAGGATAAACAATTATATGTCATGTATTGAATATTTAACTAAAAGATAATAACAACATGCAGCAATACTAATTTCTATAGTCTAAAGGAGAAGAATATGTAGATTCCAAATTATTTTATTCAAACTTGTAATGTGTTTCATGTGTGTCTAAATGATAGACACATGTTCCTCAAGTGTCTTAAGCGTGACCGAGTCTAGAAAATTTTAAATAATAGTAGCACATATTTGGACATGCTAGGTGTCAAGAAGTGTCCAATGAGTAATGTGTAATATTGGTGTCTAACATTCTTAGAAGTGTTTGTGCTTCTTAGTTGAGGATTACTTGGCCTAAGAACAATTTGCAAACTCAGAATTCGTTCAAATATATCATTAGCAAATATACAACAATATACACATATAATAATAGTGTTAAAACAAATAAGAAGTATCCGATGAAAAGTATCAAACTCATATTCCACACCCTCGTCCAAGTGTCAGGGGTCTGACATGGGTATTTGATTTATTTTAAAGACTCCACATAACCTAGCACACAATCATGTAAAATATCACTCACTTAAACATGGAATGGAAAAATAGTAAAACAACAAATCCATGATCAAGAAAGTCAAACATTTCATTTGCAAATTCTATGGCAAAATTTTGTAACTTCACCAATAACTAATGAATTTTGGGTGAAGCAATCATTTTCTAAATCAGTTTGCTTGATGAAAATTTTGAGATTAACTTGTTCAAGACATTTCAAGAATTCTGTTATAATGAATGAATAATCATTACAGTTTATCTGCTACAAAAAATATAATAATAAACAATTCACACTAATACCCAAGTGATTTACAGTTTGGAAAGCATTTTCTAAAACATGGAACATTTTCGTTCTAAAACTCTGAATTTAGTGATTCAAAGCATGCCAATATTTTTTCTTGTTTCTTTATTTCCTTAAACATTTCCTGAGGAGGAAATGAATCAAATATAATGAACTACTATCTAAGAAAGCTGGAATTTTGGCGAGACATATTAAAGAAATGGACCACAATGCTCCTAGAGATGTGTTGAAAAAAACTAAAGTATATTTCATTGGATGTCTAATTGTGAAAAGAAAATTACCCTAGAAGTATCTTAAAATCTATAGAAATTTTAGTCTTATTGTGCCACATTTTAGATTTACAACATGTGATATACCAAGTTTTTTATTCCCATTCCACTCACCGGAACAATCCATGTTTCAAGTAACATAAGTTTATCTAGTCTAAAATAATGCAAAGACATTCATATGAAACTGGTCTCATGCTATATTGATGAATGGGCAAACTACGAAATTTATGAAATGGATGTGTCCACAAAATGTGTAATGTCAAATCGAGAACTAACAATGAAAGAATACTTGAGAAATTTACAGTAGCACCAAATTTTAAATTTTTTATTTTTTATTTTTTATTTTAAAGAAGAAACATTTAAGTCAGTAGTCAGTCCACTGAAGCAAACCCATCAATCAAAAAGACAAACCAAGAAAAGTTCATATTTTGGCATTGTATATCCCAACCATGGTGATTTGTGTATTCTTAAGAACCAAAATTCAAGAATCAGAGAGACTGATTGATGTCACAACAACCAAATTTATATATTAGCATATATACATAGAAGATAAAAAGCATAGATTAATAAAAAATTATATATGTAAAATAAGCAAAGCAACAAATCCAAAACTCACTAGCATATCTGCGAATATTTTCAACTCGGCTCAATTCCATTGCAAGCTGAGGCAAATCCTCGCTCATCATCTTCTGAATCTCATCTGAAAAATCAAACCCAAAAATTAAAACAACAGAGTATGGTAAGAAAGAAGCCTTTCAATCAAATGGGGGTTTCAGTGAGTAGTACTGACATGGGGACATTGTTGTTAGATTGAGCTTGTGGAGAGTGGATTTAGCTGCAATTGATCGAGAAATCCATGAGATTATGAGCTTGGCTAGGTTTTGGTGTAGGTGTTGGGGATGAGCGGCTAATTCAGCACACTCTCTGCTCAAATTCGCCTCGAGATCGCAAGCTGTATTGTATTTGTATGATAATGACAATGAAAATGAAAATGCCGATGATGATGATGAACTTTGATTGTTCTGTAGAGTGGTGGCGAAATGGTGATCCAGATACCCTAAAAGGCGTGGCGTGGGGATAGCTCACTGTGATTCGGCAACACCATTGCCACCACCCATCAATCATGGATGTAGACTACCGTCAGGTCTAATTTTGACGGAATTTTTAAACTTGGCGAAAGCGTTATCATAAATTGTGCTTTTAGTATTTGGGGTCCAAAACTTGAGGTGTTATCGTGAATCGTAATTTTAATTAAAAAAATATTGGATAGAATAGCGATTTTAAGGTAAAAAAATTTTCCTGAATAAAATGTTATTGCAAATAACGTGTTATTTGTGGATTTTTTTTAGTTCTTTTTTTTTTTTTTTTTTTTTTTTTTTTTTGAAGAAAATATTATTTAAAATAGTGATTTTACTGTGCATTAAAAAAACGCTATTCATAATAGCGTTTTCACTGTTAAAAAAACTCTTTCAATGTTCATTTATTTCTTGGTAAGCAGATTATTTTTTAATATTTTATTTTTTTTCCTGTTGTCATTGTTTTAGTAATAATGTGATTCATAAAATTTTTTTGGCTTTACTAAAGCCATTGTCATGTTAAAATTTGTTTTTTTTTCTTTTGTTTTTGTTTTGGTTTAGAAGGTGTAATTCAGAAATTTTACATTATATGGGAAAAATCTCTTTTCATATATTAATTTTACATAATATTTTTCATATATATAATTTTAAAATCATATTCATTTAGATATTATTAAGCCAATCATGTTCATTTACAAAAGTCATGGTTTCACTGTTCACTATTGTAAACATGGATTGAAACCACACTTTCACTGTTCATTTACATTAGATTTAATTTTGTTTCTGTTGTCATTGTTTCGGTGATAATGTAATTCATAAATTTTGTTTGGCTTTACTGAAGCCGTTCTCATGTTAAATTTTTTATTTTTTCTTTTGTCTTTGTTTTGGTTTAGAAAATGTAATTCAAAATTTTTTTTGGTCTTTACTAAAGCCGTTTTCATGTAAATTTTTTTTGTTTATTGTTTTGTGTTTGATTTGGGTTAGAAGGTGATAATGTAATTAATAATTTTTTTTTTGCTTTACTAAAGTCGTTTTCCTGTAAAAAAAAAAAAAAATTCTTTTGTCTTTGTTTTGGGTTAGAAGGTGTTATTCTGAAAATTATTTTGACTTTACTAAAGCCGTTTTCATTTAAATATACATATATATTTATTCTTTTGTCTTTGTTTTGGGTTAGAAGGTGAGAATGTAATTCAAAAAACCAGTTTAGTAAAACCGTTTTGTACCCGTTTTCATTAAAAAAAATTATTTTTTTGTTTCATCTTTGTTTTGGGTTAGAAGGTCATATGCATGCTCTACAGTCCGAAGCACACTCACACACTGTGCAGCTCGACGAGCAACGACGAAGGGTGAGACGCGAAGACCACCGTGGAGTAGGCCAAGAAGACGAAGGCCACCGCGAGAGCTCCTAAAATAAATTTTGTCAACATTTTTGTAATAAAACTTAATACATAATATACGAAGTCACTAATTTACTAAATACTCGTACAGGCATGAAAACAACATAATTGAAGTTGCAAATGTAATAGTTTTCAGTTACATAGGTAGTACAGACATAATTCTCCCACAAAAATATATTCTGGACACCATGAACTGAACACACATTACATACATCCTGGACACCCTGAACTGAACACACAATACATAAACATAACAGTTAGACAGACAAACACCTAATTCATGACCTAATATTACATATTAATAGCCGCAACATTTGACAGACACAATACATAAACATAACATAACAGTTATACTTACTCTTACATAGACATTACATATTAATGCATGACCTAATATTGCCGAAGTGTAGACATTAACACCTAATTCGCGCTTAAATCGGCAGGTGGCTCAGAGTCTGAATAATCCGAAAGCTCAGCGTCAGAGACAAGCTCAAGATCCTCCATGATACCCTTGATAGCCGCAACATTTGGTTCTGTTCTGTTCTTCTGGGCATTCTTCTTAACTATGTATAGCTGCATATCGCGAGCTAACCTTCGGCGCATTTGAGAAATCTCACGTTGTAGTCTTTCACATAGTCGATCAACATTATCAGGATCTTCTTTTTGGATCTCAATAGAACGTGCTTTTGGCACCTTCAGTCAATTTTCCCGACATAATCTTTCCATTTGCACTCGCTCTATAAATAGTGCGGGCCACTTCAGAAGTCTAGCGTTTGCTAAACCATATCCTGTTTGATTATCTGATGGATCTTCCACCAAACCACATGGATCTCGATAGTACTTGGGCATGACAAAATGTCGCTTCCCAAACCTATCATGATAAGTACAAGAGGCATCTAACAAAGTAAATGGTGTTTCATCTTCAGTATCGCCACTTCCCCTTCTCCCTCCTCGTCGTGAACTGTTACCCCTTTGCAAGTTCATACCACCTCTGCAATTCCCACTCCCTCCCATGAACCATGTAGCCATGCTAATTTTTTAAAACAAATAAATGATAATTTCGTAGGGCGAAATGAGTTGTAAGGTTGTGTCTTCACATTTAGTCGTTTATATAGTTGGTTATGAACGGCTTTAGAAAGATGCCTCTGCATGACAATCCCACATATATGAACAAGGTATGAGTTGTCACTAGACTAAAAAAACATAGAAAAGCAAATACTGTGTACGAAGTCACGTGACTTGACAATCCATCTGTATATACGGACAAAATAAAGGCATGCTGACTGTAAGGTAAATCAGTGAATTCACTGTTGCCATGTGAGTTTCTGAATTGAGAATCCCACAAATATCAATAAGAGATGAGTTGTCACTGTAATAAAAAAAAATCGAGCAAAAAATCGAGAAAACCAAAGCCCGTGCACCAAGTCACATGACTTCACAATCCATCTGCATATACGAACAAAATAAGGGCATGCTGACTGTAAGGTAAATTAGTGAATTCACTGCTGCCATGTGAGTTTCTGAATTGAGAATCCCACAAAATAAGGGCACCAGGTCACATGACTTCACAATCCATCTGCATATACTGACAAGTCTCTCTACGATTTGACTACTCAATGTGTGAAAAAATGAAACTTATGTAGGCAATGTTGTGTTTTCACTTAGCTATGCATCATTCGTTGTTACGACTACTATTTGTATTT